TTAATTGAAGCGGTGTTCTTTAAGTAACAAATGAAAATTTTTGTATTCTTTATTTCAATTTTAACTCCGTTAAACCCAATATATATTTTAATTTTGTTTTTATTAAAATTTTTGTTTTTTTTACCCTGTTTTTGAATTTTTATTTTTGATTATTTTTTCTTTTTTTAGGGAATAAAATTAAAAAAAAAAAAAAAAAAAAAAACTGAAAGAGTTGAAGCCCTAAAGTGCAAAACAACAACAACAAGATAATGAAATAAAATACAATTGAATTTGAAATTGGCGATTAATTTTGACAAGAGTGAAATACTTTTAATGGTAATCTGGTTTTACATAAGGAAACCTAACTCGCCTTCCTTTTAAAATATCAAATTGCCTTTGTTGTTTAATATAATGGCGCTCCTTTTAGGTGTTGCGTGTTTTAAGTTATAAATCAGTAATACAACCAGGATAACAAATTACAATTTGCACCACTTTTTCTAGTTTCAACGTACCCCTCTGCAAAAAGCGGAACGCCACAATCACTACTCCATAGTGCAGTTTCTCATGAACAGTGGTGCAAGGCCAAGTTACCAACAACCGGTAAGATATATACTTTAAGGGTGTGCCTGGCTCTCGGTGAATGAAAACGAGCTTTCCATTCAACTGAGGTTCAACACCGCCGCCTGGTTAGCTCAGTGGGATAAGCGCTGGTCTGCTGAGCGGGAGGCCGTAGGTTCAAACCCTGGCCGGACCAAACACTCAGGGTCTTTAAATAAGTGAGGAGAAAGTGCTGCTTTTGTAATAACATCTGCAAACGGTTTGACTTTCTAGTCTTCTCGGATAAGGACGATAAACCGCGGGCCCCGTATCACAAGCCCTTGCACATGTAATAAAAATCTGTGGGACGTTAAAGAACCCACACACTCTTCGTAAAGAGTAGGGCACGTAGTGCTCGGTGTAGCGGTCTATCTCACTTTCACACTCATGTATGGGGGCATCATTACTCATTCCTTCATTACTTGGAAACTGCACCTTAAGCAGTCTGGCAAAGTTCCCCAAGCCCTGAGGGGAGTGAATAACATGATATTTACATTTACACATTTACAACACGTAAAGTAAAATAATTAGGAATAGAAGCCATCAAGAGTTTGAAAATAGCAAAATGGCCAGAGAGATGACGCACTTGTAGAAATCATTCAGTGAATTTACTGTTTCTTAAATCATTATCATGAAAGTTATTCTTTTAGATTGGCAAGTAATAAGTGCCTTTTTTTCGAGTTTTGTTTACTGGGTGAATAGTAATAAATTTAAAACTCTCGTGGCGAGAAAGGAGCACTAGCAGCAAGAAATCTGGACAAGTGAGCGCGCTCGAGGGTGTACATTGTTCCTTCTAGGACATTCAAGGAGCCATAAAAGCAGGATAGCAGCGCGCTGCTTTACAAATGAGCACTACAAAAAAGTGGATAAATCGGTGCAAACTCCGGCTAATTTCTCAAAGAAAGTAGATTTACAATGTCATACTCTACTCGATTTTTAGGTACAGTATGGATGAAGGGGTAATTTTAGCATTATTTCAAGAATACGACGTGTTTCGGATGTATCAGTATCCATCGCCAGTTCACATAATTGTGACCTTATATAAAGTTTGATAACTAACTTTATGGATCATAATGTTGAATGTGATTACGATTTAATTTACTTGAAGACTCTTATTTTCATGTTCTCTGTCATTTATCTTGATTTCCATCCACCTTTTGAGTTGTATTAGCGAAATTAATTACATAAAACTATGATAATTGTGATCAGTTAGTCAAAGTGATTTTACTCGAACCGTGAAATAGGTAGTAGAATACTACGCAATATTTGTTACTATCTGTTTCACGCTACAAGTAAAATCACGGCTCTATAATCATCACCTTTTGCAATTATCGTCCTTTATTGTCTATCTTTATGTATGATTACAATTTTGTGAACTTTAGTAACCTGACGATGGATGTTGATGTATCCCAAGCGCGTCGGTTGTGTTCTTTAAATGTTCAGTTTTCATTTTACTACTTCTGAATTTCGATTAGCGATAAATTATATAAGCTTTATTTTTATCACCTCAGTTAGATTCAGATTCTAGGTAAGTGCACTGACTCGTTTTAACTTCTTGCTTGCAGTTAAGTTTAAAGTCACTTGCGGAGAAGGCATTCTTGCATGTGGATACTTGGTCGGGATTTAACATGCTCACAGCGTCTGTCGTTGAAGGGAATTACGACTTTTTTTACAAGGCGCACGGGCAACTCAGTTCTTTGGAAATACTAACGGCAGCTGTAGCTGATACTCTCGCAAATCTTGAAACCAAAAGGCCTGGTCATCACAAAATCGAATGTTTAAACCAAAAGTTCGTGGATATAGTCAATTCACTGTCAGAGCTGCACCAGTGTAAACGCGGTAACGATGCGGAGAAGGCAGTAGAGCTTGTATTAAATGATGGCCTGGATATAAACACCCCTGCATTGTGTAATCGCACACCTTTGTTGTGGGCGAGTCTATCATCCTCTGGTGAGTTTATTGAGACCCTTATCGACCTTGGTGCTAACGTTAATGCTCAAAGAGCCGATGACAAAGATACACCTTTGAACTTATCTTCTTATTGGAACATCTTCATGACAGTGAACTTGCTTTTGGATAATGGAGCTGATGCTAATATCGCTGCAGCTGATGGATATACTCCACTGCACTTGGCAGTGATGAAGGGTAACCAAAACCTTGTCAAATTATTTCTGGAAAAGAACGCGGTAGTAAATACTCAGAATGCTAATGGCGATTCACCACTGCACACAGCTGTCAGCAACGGATTTTTTGATATTACCAAGCTTCTGATTAAAAAGGGAAGCAACGTCAACCTTCTAAATAAAGAAGGAAGAACCCCTCTTTTTCTTGGTGTAAAGAACAAACATGAACAGCTCATCAAACTCTTGATTGAAAACAAGGCTGANCCCTGCATTGTGTAATCGCACACCTTTGTTGTGGGCGAGTCTATCATCCTCTGGTGAGTTTATTGAGACCCTTATCGACCTTGGTGCTAACGTTAATGCTCAAAGAGCCGATGACAAAGATACACCTTTGAACTTATCTTCTTATTGGAACATCTTCATGACAGTGAACTTGCTTTTGGATAATGGAGCTGATGCTAATATCGCTGCAGCTGATGGATATACTCCACTGCACTTGGCAGTGATGAAGGGTAACCAAAACCTTGTCAAATTATTTCTGGAAAAGAACGCGGTAGTAAATACTCAGAATGCTAATGGCGATTCACCACTGCACACAGCTGTCAGCAACGGATTTTTTGATATTACCAAGCTTCTGATTAAAAAGGGAAGCAACGTCAACCTTCTAAATAAAGAAGGAAGAACCCCTCTTTTTCTTGGTGTAAAGAACAAACATGAACAGCTCATCAAACTCTTGATTGAAAACAAGGCTGATGTAAGTATTGGATACAAGGAAAACTCTACAGAAATGAGGTACATTGAGGTGTATGAGGGTCTCAATGGGGTGGTGGCTTTTACGGTTATCGGCTAAAATTTTGACTCTTTTACGGTTATCGGTTAATTTATTTCAGTTACGGTTAACGAAAAAGTTAAAAATTAATTTCTTTTGTTTCAAAGAGATAAATATTAATAAACCTGTATTTTTTGTATCTTTAAGCAAAATAAAGATCTTGGGATCATCTCGGGACGAAATAAGTTATTCTTTTGAACTATTTTAATATTTGATAGATCACACTTTTAAGTATTCCACTTCAAATATTATTTTACCCATAGGAATGTCAATGGTTACTTTTACAAATCAAGGGAACAGTTTCTTTTACGGTTAACTCTTTTTTTACCCTATTTACGACTAACGGTTAAAATTTTTCAATTTTTATGGCTACGCCTATCGGTTAATCCCATTAAGACCCTCTTTTATTGCTTGCATCTTCTAAATTTGGTCAGCGACAGCTGGTTGTGAAGAATTAGTCAGGAGATTAAAGCCACTCAAAAACGGCGAAATGTTTTGAAAGAATAACAAATTTGTTTAATCATCCTAGGATAAGAAGCAGGTCCTGGCCCATATGGAGAGAGCTAAGAAAGCAAAAGTAAGTTGAATGGCATATGTATTGTAGTGTGCGAACGTTTAGCCTGCAGTACAGGCGTTTTCTTTGAGCGCGCAATTTGCTCACGAAAGCGCCATGTTGAAACTTCCCGAAGAGAGGAGGTAATGGGCGAGTCAAAGGGAGCAGGGAGGGGGCGGGGAGAGAGAAGAGAAAACGCCTGCCCGAAAATACTGTGAAAATGAGAAACACCCCCTAATTAGACGCGCGTGACCGCTCTTCCGGAAATGAGTAGCCGACAATAACAAAAAAAACCTAAACAGTCGCTCCAGTCCAAGACTTGCATGGAGTTCATCGTTTTTATCTTGACTGAGTCACAATGCAATTCTCCCCAGCTGATGAAGCTTCAGTTTAAGCTGTAATTCAGTCGTCTAAATTCATCTCTGTAAATCGCTATCCGTGAGAGTTTAACATCCTGCAAACAATTTTAAAAACTAACGAGCTGGGCCCAGCGTGATACAACGTTGCAGGAAAACATCACATTCTCGGTCTAGGAAAAAAAAATCGCTTAGTTTTTCAGATCCTGAGGCACTTTGGACAAAAATAAAGAACCTAACAGCCTTATTTAGCGTCAAAAAGAGCTTTACGCTTCAAAAGAGGTCGAAGAAAACGCTCTTGCATCAGAGGGCAAATCATGAAGACCAGAAATTCAAAAACCACAGAAAATCAATAAGCGTGTCATGACCTCTCAGTGTGAAACAAGCGGCTAAGATCACATTTGCTCTGTCAAAACATAGAACCCTCTAGAGAGCATCTACTCGCCAGAAAAAAAAAACGTATAGTATTGGAACAAGCAGCATTTTGGCATGAGGTAAAAGTGGTGTAGGTACTGTGAGCAAATCTTGTCTTGATGACCAGTGTAAAAATCGCTTTGACTTTCTCATTGAGTAATACACGCGACATTCGCAGCCGCTCCAATTCCAAAAGACTGACGGAAACGGAATAAACAATATAGACTTACAGTTAATTGACAGGCATCAATCTACTTCCCTATGCCGCACCAATCAGGAGCTCCGTTTGCCAGCGTACGGAGTTTCCCAAAAGAACAATGATANGTTAATTGACAGGCATCAATCTACTTCCCTATGCCGCACCAATCAGGAGCTCCGTTTGCCAGCGTACGGAGTTTCCCAAAAGAACAATGATATCGGGCAGGCGTATTTTTTTTCTCCCCTCCCCCTCCCCCTTTCCTTCTTTCGCCCTCGCACCTACCGTAAGGGTTACTATTTCTACTCTCCCCAATCTTCCACTGTCATAAAAACAAAGATGGCGGCTACAACAATATTACGAACACGAACAAGGTTTCGCCCGCCCAAAATACGCCTGCACTGCAGGCTAGCGAACGTTGTCCATTTAATCAAGGGAAAACAAATATGAAAACTTTAATCAAAGAAAGATTTAGAAATTCCATATTATTAACGTCTTTCTCATAAATCAGAGCAGAGGCTTAATTATGAGTGGTAACATTGTCATTTTACTGTATACAACGGCGAGCCCACTAACAGTAGGCTTATTTAGCAACAGAACTTGAACGTCATTTGACGACGGCGCGCGCAAATCAAACAATTGGCTTGACCAATGGCAGAGCGAGAAATAGTGCACCGGAAGTCTAGTTAAGTTCTTTTCGCGCGCTTTCCCGTTCTGTTGCTAAATCAGCTTAGTAGAACGAGTAGGACGGTATGGGGGACTTTTTACAGGATTGATTTGTTATTAGTGTCTCCAGTATTTATGCTGGCTGCATGAGACTGGGTAAAAGTCGGGATTTGAGGATTGGCAAGTCTGTAGGTTCGCCCACGAAAATTTAAAAAGTGGCCTTCAGTTTTTTTTTTTTTTTCGAGCTGACACTTGATCAAGAAATTTCGCTTTGTAAAGAACATTCTGACGGACAAGGCGAAACGAAAGGACAGCCTGATACAAACCTTCTACGAAACGTCTGCCGCCTTTTTTGATTTATTGACATTTGCCGAATTAGCCAACCAAAATTACTTCCGTTTCTTGTTTTTTTAGTATGCAAACTTTCCATATGTGGGAAAAATGCAGACTCGCTGACTTAGAAAAAATCTTTTATCTTTTAATTTTTTCAACAAAAAATAAAACAGTTAGCACAATCACATTTAACTTCTTGCGAGATTAAAAGAGATCTCGAAAGTTATTTCTATTGGCGTGGAAGGTAAAAAGTTTTCAAAAAGACGGCGACACCAGATGTTCTAGTTTTAATGTTTTGGCTAGGCGCGCTCGAATTTAAAACTCTGAATTTTTTCCTTTTGCCTTTATATTTTCCTTGGCAGTTTTCCTCGATTTTCAGTACATAAATCTTTTAATCAAAAATCTTGGAGAAATATATCGCAAACTTTTTAAAAGGATATAAATTATCTCAGAACAAAGCAACGGGTTCTCAAGTGCATTTCATTTAGCTGGTTTAGTCCCGTACTTGCAATTTGCGAATTTACTAGAGAAACAAACGTCTAAAAAATATATATTTCTTTATACTAGTAAATCCATGTAAGCATTATCACCTTGGAAAGCTATGGGCAAAACGAAAAACAATATTACAAACACACTTTGTAGTTCTCCTTTAATTAGTTGTGTTGTTGTTTTACTGCAGCCTGAAAAGCTCGCTAAATTTTATTTTATGTATCGAAATTAACAAACAGCAAACAACTAACGAGCGAGGACACCAGTTTCCCTGGTTTATTTTTTACAAAAAGCGAAGGCAAACAACAACTCTGTTACCTTTAGAGTAGCGCCACTAGCTTTTATGATAATACCAACAAAAATTCCTTGAACAGCGATCATGCGATGTTTTTCGTCTAATACTTCACAGTTGGCGCTATTGAGGTTTCTTTCGCAATGAACCTCCGCTTGCGTTCCCGGCTAAACTTTCAAATAAAACCACTTCTAAGATGGACAGTATTTTGATCTGCACTCGTTTGTTAGTAAATCAAAAAGCGCCTTGTTAGCGGTCAACTACCTGCAGAAGGATTCAACTCCGCGATACACTCACAGTAGTTCCGCAAATAAAGCAAATCCAGAGAAGATGTGAGCAACCATATGAATTTTCTGAATTTCCATTGTACATATTAAGGCATATTTTCCTGACAGCAAAATCAACCTTTCTCTTCGCCGACGGCGGATCATTCACGAAAACAACCACGAGAGGAATAAGCGCTTTCAACTTCCGGCGTTTCCGACAGCCAATCAGATCTTGTGGCATTGTTCTAACAGCCAATCAGCGTTACGGCCCGTAACGAGCACAAACGTGAGAGAGTTTGTATCGGGCCCAATTTTAGCGCTGGCCGTTAAAGAGAATGTATGAGAACCGCTAAAATTGGGCCTGATCTCAGGTTATGTCCATCCTCAATCCACGTGCTACGCGTGCAAGAACTTATAAACCTCGGCTTTTCAGAAATGTTGAACTTTCCCGCGTGTAAAAGCCATTATTATTCATTGTACCAACTATCTGTCTTTTCATCGGCTAAGAGCCTACAGTTAATTTTGAAAATCAGCGCAATCTACAGATTAGCAGGTAACTGACTAATCTGTAGGTTGCGCGCGCAATGCAGGATTTCCAATAACAGTATTAATTCAAGTTTCTTGCGAGGGTGTATTTGTCGTTATCTTCTTCAAAACAATGTATTAAAAAAAACAATTATTATTAGGTTTTTGTGATATCCTAAATAATCAAGGTCTTAGTAAGTGTTACCAGCCTCGACCTTCGGCTCGGCTGATAATACTTACCCCGGCCTAGATTATTCTAGCCTGTGCCAGGCTCTCAGATAGTATACGTAGTGGGAACTTATTAAAAGCGAAATTAAGACGCGCACGACTTGGGAAAGGGGGCGGTGGCGGCGGGAAAAATGGGAGAGAGAGCCTGTTAGCATTCTTTAACGACCCTCTTCCGCCCATTTTTGTCACGTCTGGATTCGGCTGTCAAAACTGTCAACACTTCAGTTAGCTACAATCATTCTCAAGTTTCTTGCGTGAGCATTGCACGCGACGCGAACTCCTTGTGCGATGTGTGGAAATTTATGTCTTCGAATTCGTTATCCTGTGAGGACATCCGTTTTTTTTGCTCTAGTTTATAGCAATAAAAGGGGGCGGTAATTTTTTTCCTCTGTTGGGTAGGTTATGCTCTGGAGGGTTCTACATTGTCACTAAGCAAATGTGACTTTAACCGCTGAGAGGTCATGACACACATATCTATTTACTGTGGAGTTTGTTTCTGGTTGGCAGGATTTGCCCTCTGATGAGAGAGCATTTTCTTTGACCTCTAATTTGAAGCGTAGCCTTTTTATTGGGGCTGAATAAGGGTTTTAATTTTCTCCAAAGTGCCTTCTGGATCTGACTAACTAAGTGATTTTCTTCAGTCCGTGAATTAATGTAATATTTTTCTGCAATGTTGTATCACGCTGGGCCCAGCTCGTTAGTTTTCTTTGCAGAATGTTAAATTATCATGGATTGTGATTTACAGATCCAGAATTATAAGAAAGAAGTGCAGCTTAAACTTAAGCTACATCAACTAAGGAGAATTGCATTGTGACTTAGTAAACTCCAGCTTAATAGTGTTTCTCCTAAAATAGTGTGAATCTTTTGACTGGAGCGCGTAGTTTCTCCCTTGGTAATAGCGGAATAAGCTTAACAGTCTTTGGACTGTTTTGTTATTGCTACTTTGTGTTCAACCAGGACTCCGAATTACCGAAAACAATTTCGCACTTTCCTTCTCTCGCTTTATTCTCGTCCTCTTCTCCCTCTTCACCGATGCCAAATAGCCGCGGCCGAAAATCCAAGCTTTTTTAGTTGTTCCACTTGGTCTCGCATTATAGATATCAGCGGCGAAACGACTATTATCGTAGAGTTTACTAGGGTTAGAGCAGCTTTAGCCAAGCGTGGGAATAGCTGAAAGATTAAACTTTTGCCGAAACCGGTGGGCATAATACCGAAAACATCTTTACCGCGAGCCAAGTCGCAGACACTCGTCTAAAGCACAAGACAACGCGGATTCATGAAGATCACACGCGCGATTCCCGTTAGCCATCTTGGTGATGACAAACTGATGGCCACGCTACTAGGTGATGATGTTAACTATCACAATTGACCAATCAGAGGGCGTATCAGGAGCTGATATACCGGAACAGGCCGTTAAAAAAATGCGTACAGGCTCCGCCGCCCTGTCTCTCCCCAGCCCCCGCGCGTTTTTCGCATTTCTTATTACTGAACGACTTTCCACTATCTCGGAGCCTGGAACAGGCTATGATTATTCCGGATATCACAAAAACCTCGTCCGATAATTGATTGTTACTTAACGTTGAGCGTTTTTGTCGTTACAATCTATTAACTTTCTACAAAACAATAAGATAAACAATAACTTAAGATAAGTCATACTACAAAAGTTAAACTAGAATATAGCATACATGAATACACAAGCATACAGGCGGGGACACCGCAACAGGGAGGGCCAATTACTGCGAGCTCAGGACACAGACACAAGGCATAGGTACGATGAACGAGAACCATAAAAACACTACCTATGTTTCTCGAATTCAAGTTTGTTTCTTTGTTTTTGACACGAGTTAGGCCTAGAAGAGGCGTGTCAGATCTGTTGTAACATAAATTAATGTAATCAATAAATGCATGGTATGTAGACTGATGGATATGTTGTTCACCTTCTGAAAAAAAAAAACCACAGGCCTCAAGAGGTTCTCTACACAAGGCTGCTATAAGTGGACAATACGAGACGGTTGAAATGCTTCTTGAAAGTGGTGAAGATGTGGATCAAAGAGATCAGGTTTTATTTCAGTCTTTTTTGTTACCCGGTTTAAGAACTTAAAAGGGTAATATGGACCTAACAGGAAAGATTTCGAAAATGATTTGATCAAAAAGTTAAACGCTAAAAGATTTTTAAAATACATTTAAAAAGTGAACGACGTTTCGGCGCCACGTTACGCCATTATCAAGTTGAAAAGTGAAAAAGTATAAGGTGTAAAATGAATATATAAAATTTGAAATAATACATAAAATATTTGCGGGTCCAATGGGTATAATTCCCAAGGTAAGAAAAAAAATGTGCGAAGTGTCACGTAAATAGTTTGGCGCGAATGGAGTCGGCTTGTGTGTTAAGAGAAGGCTTGATGTCCTTTACGTATAACATCTCGTAGACTAAGCAATCAAACTTGCTGTTACATTTCCTCAGAACTTTGAAAAGATGGTCAGCCTTTGTTCTGTTGTTGTCATGCTGTGTTTTAAGGTGTTTCCCGATGGCTGAATCACGGTGTTCACTTATGCGTTGATGTAAGTGTCGGGCAGTGTACCCGACATAATTTGCATCGCACAAATCACATTGAAATAAGTATACAACGCATTGAGTGTTGACGATCGGGGGCTTGTTTGGCTTGACACTCATGAGGGTTTGTGAGTAGACAGATTTCTGCTTGTAAAGAAGGATTTTTCGTTAACATCGATCTTGGCTCCCAGAGAATAGATATCTTTGCGTACGCGTAGAAATGCTCGAGCAAAGTGTTAAGCTCAGCCAGCTCATAATTTTCTATTTCATCAGTAGTTTCCTTATCTACGTACCAATTCTTCCAAACAGGAGCCAAAAACCAGTGCTTTTCGCAGTGTTTTCGTTTTTAGAGCAGTTTTTTTTTTTCAGCTCCTCTACAGTTGTTTCGGTCGCAAAAGCAAATGTGTTGCAAACCATTGCGGTTTTTGCTTGAAACTGGTCAGAAGCGGATCCAAATTTTGCGCCATTTAGATGGCGCATTTGATTGGCTCTCAGTGAGTTCCTTTGTTTATTAACCAATCAGAGTGTCACGTTTGTTACTCTTTTCTGCACTAAATTACCTTTTTTCTGCACCTTGTTACCTAAAAACTGCATTTCTTTTAGCCAATCACGATCGAGAAATTTTTTCATGTATATAGTCCAATAAAAGCCTCTAGTTTTATTTTATGCATGACCATCATTATTGCTGAACAAGCTGACTTCTTTCACCCTTTTCTAATTGTTTTTCCCCCTCCCTATTTCTGTAGTTTTCTCTGACTCCTCTTCATCTTGCCTGTTGGTATGGACAGGAATCTGTTGTCCGGTTGTTACTAGAGCATGGTGCGAACGTCAAAGCTGAGGACAGGGTGAGTTAGTGAGTTTTTTTTTCCATTGAACAACGATAGAGAGCATTATATGAAGGAAGATCATCGCAGTTATCTACGCAATTTTTGCAGTTGCAAAAAGAAAGCCTGAAAAAAAGTCAGGCTTGTACGGGATTCGAACCCTTGACCTCTGTGATACCGGTGCAGGGCTCTACCAATTAAGCTAACAAGCCAACTGGGAGCAGGTCGTTGAGTTGGTTCGTTATAAACCCGTGAAAGGATGATGGTGAAGTTATGAAAATATGAAAATCATATATTCATAACTTCAATGATAGCGAGCGTAAGCAACAACGATGGCGACGTCAACGAGAACGGCAAAAAAGCAAAAGGTTTATTAAGCAAATCATAGCCTCTGGGAGGAGATGTTTTATGCTTAAAGGTCGTCATTAGATTTTGTTACACAGCAATTAATTTAGCTCACGCTACAAAACGTACTCTACTTAAATGTTTTTAGTTTCAACGTACACCTCTGCAAAAAGCTGAACGTCAAAACCACCACTCCATAGTGCAGTTGCTGCTGAAGAATGATGCTAGGCCAAGTCTTCATGAACCAGTAAGATATCAGATTTTGTCAGTCTTCCCTAATCCATTTTGCCAAACGTCGTCTTTCAGATGGAGTTCTACCTAATTTGTTTAACGTTACCTATACATCATCGTACTAGTCGCTTCTATCTTTTAGATACCTTATATTTGTTGTTATTTATGGAATTACTTTCCCGGGAACCTTAGAACAGAAGACCTAAGCCTGTCTTTCATCAAAAAACGTTGCGGAGATTTTTACAAAAAAAAATAGCCTGCGAGCAAGCTCTCCGGAGCACTCTGGCGGCTGGGCGGTAATGGAAGAAGAGCTTGCAACTACGTCTCTGGAATTTGAATATCTGCATCGAAAAATTCGATGCGAAATGCTGATTGGCGGAGATGACATTCGTAATGACGTCATTGCCCTTGGCACTTGTTTTTGAATATTGCTTACATTCGCGCTCGTTTCCGCTTCGCGCTTATTGGCGGAAATCTGACAGCTCAGTCTACGGGGAGCCACAGGGAAATTGGAGGTGGAATTCAAATTCCAAAGACGTAGTTGCGAGCTCTCCTTGCTTTTCCTGCCCCGCCGCCAGAGCGCCCCGGAGAGCTTGCTCGCACGCTACAAAAAATAAGATTAGGGAGGTTGATTCTTATCGCCCACATGTTACCTGGGCATAAAAATCATTTATATGTGTTACTTTTTGTGACAACTTTTTTTTCTTTTCTGTTTTTTTTCACATTGTAAGTTATATTTCAGTTGAGTCAGGATTAGCCCGTATGGTTCTTCTGTTCTAGCTTGTTCTAAACTAGTCGTTCCCCGTCGCTCTCCACGTGTATGCAGTGAAAATCGATTAAATTCAAATTAAAAATTTTAAAATCTAATTCAAATTAAAATGTGTCTATTTGCGATACACGGGAACACCATTACTGCATTTTTCAAAAACACGCAAACTCTGAAGTTCAAAAGCCGCCTTCACAATTAAGTTTTTCGCTGCCGTCAATCATAATTCCAATCACAAGCAACGAACCTTGAATCACAGAAATATACAGCTTCGTACCCAGGCCACTTCGCGCTATCCGAGTTACCAGAGGAGGCTTGGAACCGAGTGCGATAGTCCTCGGCGAATTTTCCAGACAAGCTTGACAGGTGACGTCTCATCCGAAATAGCCGAGGACGACTGGGAACGAGGCTGAGAAATATACACAAAACGGATCGAAATCCACCAATCACAAATTACAGACCATGACCTTTTGAACCCATTGAAGTAAACGTCTGTTTCCTAAGAGGACCGCTAAGAATATTATGGCAGCGAAAAACACAAACGTCAGTTGACTTTTGAACTTCAGAATTCGCGTGTTTATGAAAAGCGCAGTAATCGGTTATATTGCAAAAAGGTACTTTTAAGCATTAGAGTCTCATGAAAACCATCTTTATTATTTTCGCTCATGAACGTATCATTTTTATTATAGGTCAGTCTAAGGAAACTCTCGAGAAAAGCTTTCTTGCAAGTGGATAAACAATCTGGATTTAATCTGCTCCAGGCTGCTGTCTTAGACGGAGAATACAACATTGTTTTAAATGCTCATGGCCTTCTAGACAAAATTGTAGATGAGATGGAACTTGTAACAACGGGAAATAACGCCAAAGAGTTTCCAGGGAAGACTGCAGTTGACATCTTATCTCTTATAAAGAGAAGAAAACCAAGTCATCATAGAATCGAAAGACTTTATAACGAGTGGGCTAGGGACGACAGTAGACTGACTGAACTGCAGTGGGCTACATGCCATGATGATGCGGAAGAGGCAGTTGAGTTTGTATTAAATGACGGTGTAGATGTTAATGCTCCAGGGTCAAACAGTGATTGGACAGCTTTGCTGTGGGCGAGTCGTTCATCCTCAAGTCAGTTCATTGAGACCCTCATTGATCTTGGAGCAGACGTTAATGCTCAAAGAAAAGAGGGAAAAGAAACTCCTTTAACATTAGCAGCTGACTGGAACAACTACATGGCAGCGTACTTGCTTGTAAGACATGGAGCTGATGTAAATGTACAGATTAGTAATAGGTTCACAGCACTGCACTTATCAGTCAAAAAAAATCACGAAAATCTCATCAGATTATTACTTGCAAACAAAGTGGATGTAAATATTCATGATAAAGATAAACATACACCACTGTTCCTGTCAGTCCAGAGAAATGACGAAATCCTCGTCAGATTGTTTCTTGAACATAACGCAGATGTAAATATGAAAGATTATTCTGGAGATACACCCTTGCGTTGGTGTGTCAGAGAGGGTAACGAAAACCTCTTTAGATTGTTACTTGAACACACCGCGGATTTAAATATGAAAGATTATGCTGGAGAAACACCCTTGCGCTGGTGTGTCAGACAGGGTAACGAAAACCTCTTTAGATTGTTACTTGAACACAACGCGGATGTAAATATGAAAGATTATTCTGGAGAAACACCCTTGCACTGGTGTGCCAGAGAGGGTAACGAAAACCTCTGTAGATTGTTACTTGAACACAACGCGGATGTAAATATGAAAGATTATTCTAGATATACACCCTTGCACTGGTGTGCCAGAGAGGGTAACGAAAACCTCTGTAGATTGTTACTTGAACACAACGCGGATGTAAATATGAAAAATTGTGCTGGAGATACACCGCTTCAATTATTAGTTCTTGACCCTCATATATTTAACGGTGAGATAATCGATCTCCTGGTGACGTATGGGGCGCAAAATATAGACATCCGTGACGCAGAAGGCAGAACTCCTCTTCAAATGGCAGTGAAATGTGGTAACGCGCAAGCTGTGAAAAAGCTCATTGACCTTGGAGCTGATGTTAGTGTGGTTGAAGCCGATGAGACTGATGCCAGAAGACTGAAACGCTTAAAGAATGAAGCTGAAAAACTCACAGAGTCTCATCCCAAATCAGAGAAAATCCTGAGGCAAACCACCCCCTCGTCTACATATACAACAGAGAAAATAGAGGAAGAAGAGGAAGCTGAACAAAGGAAAACCCTGGCAGTGAGGCACCACAAAAAAAAGGCGACTACATCTTCAAGAACAAATAAATGCGTAATGGCTTGAATATTAAGATTTTTCAGAGTTGTGTTTTTGAGAAAGGCCCGGCTGTTTAGTCCGTAAAAGAGAAAAGTTTACTCCTATTAAAAGCTAACATTAAACTAGTTTGTACAAGATTAATAACAAAATTGACGACAGTAACTATAATCCTCAATGTTAATTTGAAAATTGTAAAATCGACGCTGTTACAAGAGCTTTAACCGACGTTTTGGCACTGCTGCCTTCTTCAGGGTGCAAAAATATACACCGTTAAAACGATCGAAATAGTTAAAAATGTAATCGCGCACGTGAGCTACGTAATTCAACGAACCTTTCCAAGGGAAACCTTTTAGTGGTGTATATTCGTTTTGTCCCCCGAAGAAGGCGGCATTGCCGAAACGTCGGTTAAAACTCTTGTAACAGAGGACGTACTTTGAATTTCAAATGTGTAGTGTGGATCGGTTTTACGAACAGTCAACTCCCTGAATAGCGTACACTGTAGGGACGTCCGGTTAGTCACGGTCGATCTTATTAGTGAGAGTCCGTAATAACGGGAGTTTATTTTAGTCCGACATTTGTAATTTTTTTTGTGCATGTGATTTAATTACTGTCCGTATTATCGGGGTGTCTGTTATTGCGAGAGTCCACAAGGCTAGAGTTGACTTAGGAGAATTTTTGAAAGTAATTACCATAAAATTTTAAAATTATAACATGGCTGGAATATTCGTGTAGCTGATCAAATTGTTATTCCATAGTGTCAGTGTGCTTCATATTCCAGTTGAGCACGCTGGTGACGTCAGCAAAGTGCCACTTCGAGTTCTTATGAGCTTAGTAATCCTCCCAAGAGCATCCATGACTCAATAGTACTAAATGACTGAAGCATTTAAGATCTTGTCTTAGATGTCTCAGATGATCGCGTCATTGAGAGGTGAAACTAAGCCGTTAGCCTTGTCTTCTTCATCCTTTCTTAACAACTGGAAGGGACAACGTAAAAGAACCCACATTGGTATTCGAAAAGAATAGAAAAAGCAGACCCCACCAGTGGTGTGGTTTATCTCTCATGTAGCCTGTGTACAGACCCCCCTCCGCTCAGGAAAAATCTGATTTTTCCTGAGGGGAGGGGTAGTCTGTCGTGAGGATAGGGAACTGTTAGGGGCTCGCAGTAATTGGGGCCATGCTGTTGAAGCATAGTTAGTTACTAACTATGGTTAAAGTTACTTCGCCAAAATTGTCTAATCTAAATAAATGAACAAACATGTAAATTACACGTGGCTCATTATATAATGTTATGGCGGCACTATTCTGTGAACTTCGTGTTAGAAAAAATACCGATAAGATTATTTTTATGCCGTCAAAATCATCTTGCCCGGTTAATTAGACATCGAACTAATAATTATTACTGTTTTTACTAGATTTGTTCTGGGTTTGGCAGCACTTTAATAACAGGGGGCTATTTGACTGTAATAAGCTGTTGAGTTTCGGGGTTAGGTAGGTAGGTAGATTCTTTATTTAAAACTCGGTAAAATCTTCAGTAATAATAGAGTAAAAATCTAATTACAATTAATTAGACTAAAAACTATCGACAAACTGTTTTACAAGACTGCCGAGTGAGAGTCCGACGACTCAAATACATGTTTGATTTGCTCTTTAAATTTCCTGATTGATTTAATTTCTCTCACATTTTCGGGTAAAGAGTTCCACAACAAAGCACCGCTGTAACTGAAACTTCGTTTCAAGTAGTTAGTACGCTGCCTGGGCAACGTCAATTTGTGAAAGGAATTGCGCAAATCATAGTCTGTTCATCGTTCGTGAAATAGGTTCTGCAAGTACACTGGAGCTTGTTCATTTAGAGATTTAAACATCATTATTGCTTTATGCTTCTTTCTCCTTATAACTAATTTGTCCCATTTGAGTATATCAAGAAGCAGGCTCAAGCTAGTCCCATAGTTGGCCTTTAAAATTACTCTAGCTGCACGGTTCTGTAACTTTTGTAATTTGTCACTCAGATGATCACTTAAGCCATCCCAAACGAGGCTACAGTAATCAAAGTGAGGTTGAATTAAGGAGTTATAGACTAGTACCGCAGTAGATTGGGAGATAAGGGGCCT